GTTATTTGACCTATTTTCTAGACTCACTCGACAGCAGGTTTAGAGGGCTTTTCAATTCGAGTGGTAGCTTTGTTTGTGGAAAAGTTTAGATAAAAACAGACATCGTTTCTTTGATAAATGTTGTAAACGGTACGAATCGACAAAATTACTCATTAATTAATTAACTGCTCGGAACAAAAACAACAAAATGAAATACTTTAAATTTGTTTTAAATGTTCCAATTTCGATATTCAAATGGGTGAAGACTTAAAACTACAATTAAATCAGATGCATTTATTTACAATTTGAGTATCGTGTCGGTTATAAAACGTTAATGCATTTCGGGGTCGTTGTACTGTTAAACAAACGAGACAATTTTAATAATTACAGAAATCTGTTTATAGATTAAAAAATGTAATATTAATAATAAAATATTTAAAATTATTCATTTCGACAGTAATAAGATGTCGAAATAATTCCTTAAAAATCTATTCCGAAGACGAATTTCGAATTCGGTATAAATTTTCTAAATATGGATTTGTTCATATTTTAAATCGTATTGGCAACGAAATTAAATAACGAAATAGAAAAGGATTGTCATTAATTGCCGAACAATGATTTTGACGGCCTTAAGCTTTCGGAATATAGCTGACGACCATTTCTGACGTCACGAAGAAATAATCCGATTGGCCGAACGACTCCTAAAACAGGGGAGTAATAGCGAAGTAAGTAAGAGCCAATGTAAACGTCGTTTAATGTAAACTCTGTCTCTGCAATCGGCCGTGGAAGTTTGGTTGTGGGGTTGTGCCTCGCCAGAATTGGCTGGCCACGTGGTGTTTTCTGGGTTTTCTCCGTGTCTGTAATGCCCAAATAGGGCCAGTTACCCTTAAAAAGACCTCCTGGAAGCCATCCCCCTAGGCAGATTGTCCAAGTGTTGCATTGCCATAACTTAATAAAACAAACAATTGTAATATGGTGGCTTCATACTCTCTTGAGATAGTACTTCACTGTAAATTCCACTGTTGTTCATACTTTGAAATAATCATGAAACCACACAAGATAATTTTTATTATAAAGTCCTGTTTTTTAATGATGTAGGTTCCTCTGATGATTAACAAGAGATTAAACAATTTGGCCAAAAATAGATTAAGCCATTGCTCTGTGTAAATGTTATCATGTAATGATTTTTTTTTAAAACTTATTTGTGATTAGAATGAAATAATCATTGACATCAACTTTCACCAGTTTGCCTAATGCATACTGCACATGTTGGTCTTGAATAAAATTTAGAAATGTCTTGCACTTCATTTCTAACTTATTAAGTATGGGCAAACCACTGGTATTTCTGGAAGAATCTAGTAAGTACACTAGCAGCAATATAATAAAACTGTCTGCTATTTTGTTTAAATTTTTCAGTACAGGTATTCCTTGTATAAAACATAGTTATGTTCCGAAAAAGTGCCATGTTATGCAAATCTGTGCTATACAAAACAAAAGACTGATGCAAAATGTAGAGTTACATTCCAGAAGTTAGCGAAAGTATACTCCTTTTCATTACTAAGAGAAATATGTTTATTAAAACAATTGATAATTTATTTTCAATCATCAGTAATTAACATAATCACAAATAAAAGTACTTTGTTATACATTGATATTAATTCTAGTTAAAGAAGGACATTTTAGATGTGTTCTGA